TTTCTTACACTTTTCTTACATTTGCCCCCCGCCCCACCGTAATATTACATTGTTCACTTATAATGATAAAAATAATATGACATATTTTTATATCGCGCAAATCCGTAAAACAGTCATTGCTCTATGCGCATTGCATAGTATTCATGACAAACGTGCATACACACGTACATGATGCACATAATAATATATTTTTTTTTTTATGCACTAAAAAATAATAGGTGTCACGACATGGTGGGATCAGGCGCTCGTCAGTTTTGAGGCATACGGAGATCATATAATCTTAAAGCATGTCCATTTGCCTTCCTTTTGATGAAAACAATCTGATTTCAGAGGTAAATTTCGTGAGAAAACGCCGCCAAAGTTTGATAACTTCAATAACTTGAAAGCCTTTAAAACTGAAAAATCACAAATTTTGTGCTTGTAATGAATGTTTTTCAGTATGGACGTAAAAGGTTTTTAGCGCGGAAAAAAAATTCAATAAAAGTTCCCAAACCTGCGGAAAAATGCCAGTTTTTTTCACTTTCATTATTTTGACGAGCGGCTGATTTCACCACGCTGCCTCACAATTAGAGTAAACCATTCAAGGAAAATATTGCGTGCATACACACTCTTATTAATAAAAAGGAAAAAAAAATTGAGACTCATGTCTATGACAAAAGCGCAATAATTAAAAAAAACAAACAAGTTACAGTGGAATTCTGATAAAGTCAACACCCCGGACAGAAAAAAGTGTTGGCTTTGAGCAAAGTTGACTTTATCCATTGTACTACTGGCCATTGAAAATTGAAGATGACAGCTACAAAATACAAAGTGCCTGGTAATAAACAAGGTGTAATCTCAATTTCAGGGAGTGTTATTCTGAAGTTGTCACCAAAACAAGAGATAATGAAAGAACAAAGTACATATATGTAATTGGAGGTGTGTACACCACTTACTCAGGCGAAATATCTCTTCTTGAATAAATTCATCTTAGGTTTTAGCCCCAAACTGTTGGCTTTACGAGAGGTTAACATTCAAGCGGTTGACTGTATCAGAAACACAATTACTTAAACTTAAACAAAGAAGGTAAGAAACGGAACTACAGTGAGGTGTTGATTGTAAGCAAGAGTTGACTTTTAGCAAGTTGACCTTACCAGGATTCCACTGTATCTCTGTTATTAGTGTTATTACTGATCATTTAAGCTGAAAAAAAAGTGAAATTAGTTATCATCAACAAATGCAGAGTTCATCATTATGTCGAAAATATTTTTTTCACCTCACGAAAGTGTAATATTACATTAGTTCAAGACACCCCCCCCCCCTTTCTTACACTTTTCTTACAGGAGCCAAACCCCCCCCCCCCCTTTCCAGGCGTAAGATTATATTTGAACGGCCCCTTATGAGCTTCTATCCGGAAAATGTTGCTCAGTTATATTTTATCACGGCATACAAAAATAAACGCCGACATAGATACACAGACGTGCTACACACGACCCGGATGGCCACAATATTACTCTGTCGGCACTCTGTGCTGTGTGTTTGGGACTCCCGTCTCGTGGTGTGCTGCTGCTGAAGCCCAGATGGAGCAGCTATCTGGGACTTCCTTACCTGTTCTTGATCAAGCCTAGCCGGTGTTTGCACATGCTGAATCTCGTAGTACTGCAGACCTACTTCCGCCAGTGTCTCTGCTTTTTATAGTACACAGTCCTGTATTGGTGTTTGGCACGCCTTGCCTTTTCCCTACCCATGAACACACATCTAGAGTATATATATATATGTGTGTGTGTGTGTGTGTGTGTGTGTGTGTGTGTGTGTGTGTGTGTGTGTGTGTGTGTGTGTGTGTAAAGAAATAT